CACCAGAAGAAAAGAACTGAATGGGAAATGTGGTTTTCTCCATCAAAATTCCTTTAGAAAAAATGCTTTGGGAAATATTTTGCAGAGAAAAGGTTACCTTTTTAAATTTTTTCTGCAGTTGAGAATCAGTTGCTTTTCTTTTTAAATGAAAGCAGTTATAATTATCCTAAACCAGAATTTTTCTTTTGAATATTTCTTCCAGCTGAAAATGCTGTGGAAAAAAAAAAGCATATTGTTCTACATGAACCTCCTTCCAAAGTTATCATTTAGGTTAAAAGACAGAAAGTGGAGAGTAATGTGAAAAATGTTGTAAGAGCGAGCAGAGACAGAAGGTTCGTGCTGAAATTAGATGGAGCTGGTGGCTCAGGCTGGAAGGCCAAGGAAGGCTGAGAAGGGTCCTCAAGGCACCCTTGTAACTTTGCTTGTAATACAGTGACCTTGGTGGGAGTTTGACTTGGAAATATTACTGTCTTTTTCACTAGAAATGTTTGAATTTGTCTCTGGCTTAGGGCTGTAATTTTTTAATATCCAAATTTGGATTGATGGTGACTATGACAAGATAATACTAGGTCTATCTTGGCTATTTGCTTATTTGGGAAAAATGTTCATTCCATGACTCATTCGAACATAAAATTAAAATGTTCATTGAAGTCTTGCATGAGTAAAGAAATGCATTGCCCTTGCATGCTGGTTTGTGGCTGATTCCTCCCAGGTGGCTTCTATCCTCACTGAGTGGTGGTGGGGGCAAGTGACTGCCAGGATCAGCCTGCCTCCTGCCTCCCCACCTTGCTGCAGCGGGCAGGACCTGGAGAGGTGCCCTGTCACCAAAACACTGGTGGTGGCTCTTGCTTGTTGCCCTGCTTGGACTCTGTCCCCACAGCAAGCCTGTTCTTGTCCCCACCTTGCCAGACCAGCCACCAGAAGGGACCTACAAGTCACCTACCTCTGCTGAGTGGGGCTGGGCAGGAGAAGGCGCTCAGCATCTTCCACCTTCACCTCCCATGGACGAAGAAATGGCAAATGCTAAAGAAGGAAAAAAAAACATAGAAGTCTCAAAAGCCAAGCAAGATACTGCCATCCTGCAGCATCTGTGGCAGTCGCAGAGGCTCCCCGGCCAAAGGCCTTCCCCAGGTGTGCTGTGGGCAGCAGCTTGAAGCTCTCTGCTGAGGCAGGGATTAGGGCTTTGCATATTCCAGGTGAGGACCACTTCAAGGAGAGCAGGTGACTTTGCACACAAGCAGATTGTGGCACAGAAGGGAGTAGGACCCAAGTCATAATGATGCTAATATGCCTTAATCACAATATATTTTTCCTTATCGTTCAAAGTGACTTGTACTACAACACCCTCCTCTGCATCTTTTATTATAATAACTTCCCCTTTTTATCCACTGAGATGTTAATTTGCCCCTAAATATGGGAAGATTGGTCTAGCCCTTGGGGCGACTGAATGGTGCAATGTCTCAGTTTCCCTCTCCCACTCTCATGACATGAGAAAAATACTGAGCAAGGATTTTCCCCATCACATGTTCTGCTGCTGGCACCATGGACCAGACCATTCAGAAGGGCTTTGGTTTGTGCCTCATCATTCATGTGACTGCTGACTGAATACAAAATGTAGAAGGTTATTTGCTCGGTACAGATAATATCAACCATTGCACATTTTTAATTGTTGCCAAAACAGCAGCCAGTTTCACTGGACCAGCACTGGAAAAGAGACACCAACCCAGGTCTTGTAGTATTTTCCTCAGCAGGTGTGTTGATGTGAGATGCGCAGAGGTGTCCTCCAGCTTGGTATAAGTATTCAGCTATTTTATCGAGGGAAAAGGTTTCTTAAAATTCCTTGGTTTACACAGATGGTTGTTTCACTGTACACACATTAAAAGCTTTAGCTGTCTGCCTGCTTATTCAGAGCTTCAGCTTGAAATTAAAAATGCAATGATATGTGCTTGCATAGGGGAGAGAGAGAGAGAGAAACAGCAAAGAAACCTTTTAAGGCCAGTCATTTGTTTGTATTTTACCTGTGTCTTAGGGGTACTAAAATGACCAATTTTTGTCCAGATCATTTGAAAAGGGATGTGGGCTGAGGAATAGAAAATCTATTTTTAAATAGCTACCAGAAAGAGGTTTTTGGTTTTAGAGCAGACTGGATGCTTTTACATTAGTTTTTCATTCCTAATGGGAAATATTTCTTATGATCTTCAAATTCTGGTAACTTTAAACAGTTTAACTTGGAAAACTTTTCAGTGGCACCCATCAGCCCCTTAGTCTCCGTAACGGGTTTAGGCACAAGTCCAGGAGGCTAGAACACCACCACAATGTTGCAGAGAGGATAAAGACAGGGTGAACATGATGGTTTTATCCACAGGGATCTTGTCTGGGAAGAATACAGCAGGATTTGCCACTTTCTGCTTGGAATTGCTTTTCTTTCCCCTGCACACTCATCGCTGCTGGTGGGTCAGTGCTGCAGCCAGCAGGGTGCGAGGTGCCGCACTAAAAGGTTTCAGACAGCAGGATGCCTAGGGAGTGATGAAGCCGGGAAGTTTTGAACAAGGCTTTTTGGGGGTTGTTTCCTCATTTTTCCCTCTGAAATGCTGTATTCTGTGAAATGCTGATGCTGCTACGTAGCTCCATGGGGTGCCAGCAGGGAGGATGGGGCAGGAGGTGGACAACCGGGCATGGGCTGGGGTGTGGGGACGGGACTGGGGCTGGATCCCTGCCAGCTTGTGGGGAGTCTTTTGGAGTGCAGTGCTGCCTCTTAGAGTTGGATGACTATTCCTGTAAAAGCTTCCGTTTTCAGGTGCTTGTAAAAATTGAAACCTCAGGCTGCAAGGCACAGATCTTCCCTTCTAGTTGCCCTCTTCTTAAAAACAGCTGTTTGGAAAAAAAACCAACAACCCTACAGCTGGAGGGACACAGCAGCTGTTTCTCTAGTGGAGGGGAGAGATGCTGAGGCTGGATGTGCAGCTGGGGAAGGTGGGCACGTGGGACTGGACAGGTCTCTGCAGCATTGCAGGGGGACGTGAGAGGGGTAAGCAGGCAGCTGGTGCAGGCAGGCAGGTTTGTCCCCTGCCTGTGCCTTGTGAAACACCTGGCAATGGTGTGATTGCGTACTCCTTGTGTGGCGTGCAGGAGGGGCCTGTGAATCAGTATTTCACCATGGCTTATTTACCAGGCCCCTGTTTTGTTGCTGTGGAAGCTGGAGAAGAGGCAGTAAATGAAATGGGAGGTGGTGGGAAGAAAAAGGTTTAGTAAGGATCAGCTGGGTCAGTGAAAGAACTGGTGAGACAAACATACACCAACTGCTGCAGACTGGGAGACCTTCTGCCTCTGTGGGAGCTGTGCAGGTGCCGGGCTGCTGCTCAACCCTGTTTTCCCGTGGGGGACAAGAACAGCTCTGTGTTTTCCAGACCACAATACAATAAAGTCAACGTTGTGTCTCCAAACCTCAGGTCCCAAATATGGCAGCTGCGTGACACAAAACTTTAACCCAAGATAAACTCACTCCTGCAGCTTGAGCACAGCTTAACAGGTTTTAGGAGGTTTTACTGGCCTCTTGCTGTGTATCCTCATATACACTTTAAAGTGATGCTGTTTGCCTGCACAGAGCAGCTCACTGCCAAACCTCTCATAGCCATTTTTCTTGGAAGGGAGAAGGATATATTTGATAAATGGGTTGTTGGGACCTTATCTTGGCTGTGTGACTCCTTGTCATGCATGGCTGGGGCTGGGGAGCCAGGAAGCATCAGAAGTCCCCAGCCCTGGTATTTTCACTCACTGTGGTTACTGGCTCTTCCTGAATGCTTTGAAGTGCATTAGTGCTAATTAATTATCTGTAAACCTTATCACCAACTCACTTACTAGGAAACAATGCTGTCTTGAAGACAGTAATCCTTAGGAATAGTGTTATGTCAGGGACTGGCTGTCTCCCAGGAAATATCTCTCTGATCTGTGGAAAAAATGTGCTGAGGCTGGCAGGTGCAGCAGCGGTGGTGGCTCCATTAGTGGTGACAGAGGCAGCGAGTGGGCCCTTTTCTTTTGTAAGAGCTGAATGGTGGAAGCTATTGCTCACATCCCACACTGCAGCAGGGGCAGGGCAGGCCCAGTGGCCAGGCTATCTGTTTTGGAGGGCACTGAAGGGCTCTGAACACAAGCATGAGGGACTGAGTACCCTGTACCAGGGTGGTGACTGAGAGGTTGGTGTCCCCACAGGCACCCCACTGCAACAGGGAGGGGGGGACAGAGCAGCCAGGGTATGAACACCCCCTGACAGGAGCAGGGATGGAGAATTTCATAGGTGGCTTTGCCCCTGAAGCAGTAACTGGGATAATTACACCCTGCAGCCTGGCACAGGTTGAAATTTGGAGTCTGCGGCGGGGGTTGGAGCCGTGGCTAGTGTGGTGAGGGGGCTGAAGATGAAACACTTGGAGGGAAAACAAAGCAGCAAGATTTCAAAGACAAGAGCCTTCCCCAGTGTTTGCATATTCACACTGACTTGGTGTGGGAACAGGCACTTGGTCTGCCATGGCCTCAGTGGCAAACTGCAGTTGGTATTATGGGTGTGTACATGTCTTCCTATGGAGCAAGTCCATGTATCTGTGTTAATAAGGCAGACCCTTGTTTTTCCACAAAAAGGCTTCTGACTCATCAGTGCTGCTGCTCACTGGACCCTCCCCATGGTCTGTAGGACCCTTGGGATCACTGATCCCCATCTGACAGCTTGGTCCTGGCTCAGAGCTGCAGAGGCATGTGTCTTATCAGCAACTCTGGTTTGAAGTCTCTTGCCTAGGAAAGGTTTGCTAAGGAGAAGCCTTTATGCCTCGAGCTCGGTTCCAGCCATGAGGCCATGAAAATTTCACAGGAGCCTCCTAAATTACTCTGTCATGTCGTATTTGGAGGGCTTTGCCATTTACAAACTCTACTTTTAAGCATGGTAGGCATGAAAAATATACCTAATGAGAGCTTTACATTAAATCCATTATCAGCTCTCTTCCCCTCAGAACATGTCCTCCTCCATCAAAATTGAATCTGTCGTGAAGGAGAAGACCAGGATGGGAGAATGCCCAGTCTGGGAAGAAAGGGAAACCGCACTTGTCTATGTAGACATTAACTCACAGAAAGTTTGCCGCTGGAGCCCACTCAGCAACGAGGTGCAGAGCGTGTCCGTGGGTAAGAGTCCATACTCACTACTTCATCCTGGGAGTCTTCTCTGTCCATCCTGTCCGTCTCTCCAGATTGGTAGTCTCCCTTACTTTCCATGGGGCCACACACCCTGTCCTCCCACGATGTGTTGCTGAGCAGTGTGGCCCAAGCCAGCTGAGCAGAGCGGACAATGCTCAGGTGGCCATTCTTATGTTGTCTTTGCTAAGCCCAAACGGGAAAGTGTGTTTCATTTGGGACCTGCAGAGGAAAAGGTACAGTCCTATTGTCTGTGTCTGCCAGAAGCTGGAAAGATCTGGGGAACGCAGAGCCAGTGAGATGTGCTAACCATCCCATGAGAGAAGGATCTTAGGACCAGCTCAGCCTTCCCTGGGTCAGGGACGTCCCAGTCAAGCCCAGATGCTCTCAGTGAGGTGGGGAGGGGTAGGGCTGAGTGATGGCCCTGGAGCCACCCATCATCTCTTGCTCCCTCTCACCCACAGATGCCCGTGTTGGCTCGGTGGCACTGCGGCAGTGTGGGGGCTATGTCATCGCCCTTGGGACCAGGTTTGCCTTTCTGGACTGGGACACCCAGGCAGTCACTACCATCCTTGAGCTTGAGCAGGATAAACCCAACAACAGGTTCAATGATGGGAAAGTGGATCCAAAGGGGAGGTTTTTTGCTGGTAAGTTCCTGGCAGAAATTTCCCCCAGAGAAAAGAGGAACTAATTACAGTATATTTTACATAATGCATTTCATTCCATGTTCTCGATTCCTCTATTGAATTCCCTGCAAAAACACCATTGTGAGTGTGAGCTGTCTTGTGAATGCTGTGTTCGGTTACTGAACAATGGAGGAGGACAAGGGACCATGCATCCTCTGACCTAAATGAGGACAGAGGCTGTCGACAAGGGCTGTCTGTCAGGAAGGCTCCCCTTCTACTTGGTGAATGGTGTTTTTCAAATGTTTGCCTCCATGAGAGGTGAAATGCTGGTGAAGAGCTCATGCAGCTGGGAAGGTTTCTGGACCTGTAGAGAAGGATGCAACTCCTAGAGCAGAAGATGAGCTGTGGCTTGCACCCTTCACGTACAGCCTCCCCCGGTTAGCCTGTGGGAAACAGGGGTGTGGGGAGAGGGATCCTCGGCCTCCTGAAGGCAAGAGGGACTTTTGCCACCAGTTGCAATGCAACCTTCCTGTGACTTTTCTCCTCCCATATAAATGATGAGCCAAGTACAGCTATCCACAGTGGAAGCTGAGAGCTACTGGTGGGAGTGGAAAATGGCTCTGTATTTGTTTTACCAGCCAACCTTTTCTTCTTATTTCAAATCTGCCAAAATCAGGAAATTCTTTTGACTCACAGTTATGCTCGAGGGCTGATGTGGCACTAGAGTTAAGGGCAAGAATAAGAGAGAAAAACCTGCTTTACACACCTGTTCCTAGCTGTGCGTGGTGGATCAATACTTTCAACAGCGGTTTTGGCCGAGTATTGTAAAACAAATACGTGAGGTCTTCTAAAAGGAGGGGCCAACAGAGGCAGTCTATCACAGTTAAAAGAAGGCATAAATCCCTGCCTTGAGTGTTCCCTGTCCTGTCACTTCTCCTTTCGGGAGAAGAGAGAATCAGAAACTAAATAACGAGCGTAACACTGAGTCATAAATTCATTAAGAAAAAAAATCTCAGTTCCGTGGTATTCTCCACTTGCTTCTGAGATAACTGTAATCTACAGCACCTGTATTTTAAAGTCACAGTCCATTTAAATAATGAAAGTAGCCTACAAAGAGTAACAACAAAAAGAGCACATGGTGCTTCCTGCGTCTTGGCTTTTGCTGTGAGCAAAACCTCAGCCCCAGCATATTGTGGTGCTCATTTGGGTCTTTGGCATCTACGACTTAAACCTCCTGGCAATGCAAAAACTTGTCCTTTCGTTGGCCAGGATCACCTCCACGGGAGGCAGCTGCTCCTGACCTGCTCCTTTTACTCCTCCTCATCAATTTGATGGGATCTGGTTAGTCCCTTTCTCCCTAAGACCTCTTAGTAACACTTAGAGGAGGTTTCTGATCAAGCATGAGGAACAAGCTTCTACTTTCTAACCAGCGCTCCCATTTCCATTCCAGGTACGATGGCTGAAGAAACGGCACCAGGGGTCCGAGCAAGGCATCAAGGCGCTCTCTATACCCTTTACCCCAACCATTCAGTAATAAACCAGTTAGACCAGTTGGACATCTCCAATGGTCTCGATTGGTCCCTGGACCACAGGACCTTTTTTCACATTGACAGCCTGGCATACGCTGTGCATGCCTTCAGCTATGATGTGCACACTGGAAAGATTGGTACATGTGATTTTCTAAATTTGATGACAAGTAGTGCTATTACTCTTTCTACAGCAAGTCCTGGGCATGTAAGATGCTGTGATTTATTTGACAGATCTCGTATTTTCTGGCTACAGCTTGTCAGCAGGCTGACTGGGATTTTTCTCAAATTTAGTTACATGCCAGGTGTATTCGATGAACAAACTTCTGACAGTCCTTTAACTTACTTTCATCTGGACAGATGGCTCATATTTAGACCTGTTCAAGAAGTTTCAGGGAAGAAGCCATTTATACTGCAGAGAGAGAATTAGCTTACAGGATGCTATTTATTCTTGAGTGCCATCTACTGGATTCTTTGGCTGTATTAGCTCCATAAATACAAATACAGAATGTGCATGCATGTATATCACAGAAATGTATTTAAAGAATCAAGTTATCATTGTGAATGGGGTTTTCCAGTTCTGAAATTAAAATTGCCTTCAGATGTTTGGCAAATTTCACTTAAACTGATTTTTTTGTCAAACATTTTTTATTATATCTGTAAAAAGAAAAATTTAAGTGCAAGCAAAATGGATGTAAGCTCATTTCAAATCTCTGTGAAATATGTTTATGCTGGATCAACCTGTTATACTCCATGGGACTTTAAATGGTTGAATGGCCTTTGTAGTCTAATGAGTGTGGACTTTTTGTGGGTGAAAATTGTAGATAATAATTATATTCACTCAGATTTCATTTTGCTGAGAAAATCTGTTTGTACAGATTTTAGGATATAAGATTTCTAAAGAAGTTTTAATGCAACCTTTTCTCCCCAGATACAAAAATGTAATGAGTTTGAGCTTCCTAGCCTTGGCTTTATGCTGGTGACTGTCTGTTTTTGGGTGGTGTAATGGCCATAAGGCGCTGGATCAGAGCAGGTAGACAGCTGCCCATGGGCACTGCTCCACTGGACCATGCATGTACCCACCAACCTATCTGCACTGCAGCCTTGACTGCTAGTGGCTGGCGTCCAGGCTTAATCAAAACTAGTAGCTTGATTGGCCATAAATAAGTAAAGTTCTCGATCTTTAGCTGGCAGAGATTGCTTATCACAAACATTTAAACTCAATTATTTATGTGATGTATTGCTCATAAAAAGACATCCTTGCTGCCATGAGCAATGGAAGTCCAGGAAAAGTTACTACATTGCAGAAGTCATGGTATGGCGGGCAGCTAGTGGGTTAACAAGGGGGGCATTTTGTTCTCTTCCCTTGGTAAGATAATAGGAGCCCTAATTCAGTACAATCCCAAACTACAATGGCTGTACTGGGGACTTGTTTCTGCCAGGCTAAGTTAGGCTTTTAACTCATCTGTGAAATGCATATGTGATAAACATTTTACAGCATGTCTTTCTCACAGAAAATGAACTTATCTGTTTGCAAGAGTATGAAAGATGTTAAGACTTGGATCTGGTACAGAACTGGTACCAGCCCACATAACATGGGCTTCGTAACTCTCCCTGCAGGCTGCCCCAAACTTTTGTACCATCTAGAAAAGGAGGAGCAAATGCCTGACGGGATGTGCATAGATGCAGAAGGGAAGCTCTGGGTGGCCTGTATTGATGGTGGGAGAGTCATTCGTCTAGACCCAGAGACAGGTAAGGCCTCCACCAGCACGTACATATTGAGTGTCACCTACATGCCATGAACATGAGAGGAAAGGCAGCCAGGAGGAATGGATTGAAGGTGAGATAAAAGGTGTTGTTCACTGCCTGTTTCTGCCCCATGGGTTGCCATGACCATCGCTGGTCCAGGCCTCAGTCATGTTAGAGCACATGTCCCTGTGCTGCCTCCCAATGTCAGGTACCATTGGTCCCATGGTCTGCTGATGCAGCATATCCATTATTTAATAATGTCACTTAAAAAATGCATTGCATATCTATTGTGAGAAATATTATAAACCTGAAATTAAAAAAAAAATTTCTCAGCGTTGAAATATTTAACTGGGAAACACTATTAGGGAATGACAGCCATCCTAGGTTAGGTGTCTCTGCCCTTCCTGGCTTTGCATGCTATATTGCTTCATTTTGAGAAAAAGGAAACAAAACCTCGCAGATATAGGGGAGAGGCTGAAAAATAGTTAGAGATGTGGCAGATGAAAGAATTCTTTTTCTCCACAAACTGTCCTTTAGGATATGGCCTCTGTCTGAAGGGGAGATGCCTTCTGAGGAAATGACACATCTGTGCCGTGTGCACTAATAATGCATTCATATTTACACGCTTCCTAGAAAATGGACATTAGGAAACAATTGTACATTTTTCCCAGGGAAAAGAATCCAAACTGTGAGGCTGCCTACTCCGAGGATCACCTCTTGCTGCTTTGGTGGAAAAGACTACTCGGAAATGTATGTGACTTCTGCATATGATGGACTGGATGAGACCACCTTAGCCAAGGAACCTCATGCGGGAGAGATTTTCAAGGTGAGCAGACTTTCTTTCTATATGTCAGATCTGCTAAGCCCCATGCTCTGAGAGTCAGATGCCTCCAACTGCCCTTGCTCATCCTGCTCACCTGATGTGCTGGTCCAGATGTGTTGCTTGTTCCCTGGGAGGGCACAGCTGCTCATGCATTTGGAAGGAATATTTGGAGAAATTGATATCAATAGTGTTATGTTGGCTAGCTGAAGTTGGGATCTGGTTGGGATCTGAAGGCAGCCAGTGGATCTGGATCTTCCCTGTATGGCATATTCTGTAATACACTGTAAGGGATTGGGTCTTTCTCCTATCTCTTACTATATTTTCATCAGTTTTGGAGATTTCACTCCCTTAATTCTCAGTTTTTAATTGTGTCAGGACACCTAAATGTTTACAGCATAGATTGCTCCTCCAAAAATTAAATTCTTAAATTCACCAGAGCTAAATATTGCATCCTGATCCCAAAATTTTAGGGATTTTTTTAGTCTGTTAAAAGTGCTACAGTTTAAGGAACTAATGATCCATGGTTTTGTCCAGGGCTCTTGAATCCAAAACTTGTTTCTTTCTTCATTTTTCAGTCCATTAGCAAAGAGTACATCAGGAGAATAAAATGCAGTTCTTAATTAGCAATTGCCATCATTCCTTGAAAGTTGACCACAGCATGAAAGGAAGGGTTGTAAATGAGGGGAAATGAAAGAAAATAAACCTAAACAAACTGTATTATTAGTTTGGCAATAGGATCAAGACATGTTCCAGGTGGGATGGAGATCTAGTCTGGGATCTGGGACCTTCTAGTTGGAAGAAGTGCTCAGAGCAGATTTCTTATGGCTGAGATTTCTCAGGCAGTGGAGTTTAGGAGCCCAAATGAGAATTAAATGAGCCTTGCCTTTTTTATCTCTGTTCCACAGTTCTCCAGTTCTAGAAAGGAATTTGTATTTTCCAAGCTCACATTTGTCTTGCCTGGGCAAAGCACATTAAAAGTTTTTATGATTTGTTTGGTTAATATGGAGATAAGGACCATGTATAAGGGCCACAGATAATGTGCAAATTAGTAAAATTATTGAGCGGTGCTCGATAATCCTAAAGATCTTATTCCTGAAGAGTTCTAAAGAACTCCTTGTAATGATGCTTTTTGGGCTCCTCTTGAAGCAGGGGACCCTTCACTTAGGGGTATTTACTGTGATAGTTGTTGTACAACATTTGAATGTTTTCAAGTTAGAGATTTATCTGTTTCCTTTCCTTTATTTATTTATTTTTTTAAAACAGATAACAGGCCTGGGTGTGAAAGGGATCCCACAGAATTTCTATGCTGCTTGAACACTGATGCTGAATAGCAAAGAAGAAATGCTTGCATCTTGTAGTAATTCTGACAAGGAGAAGTCCAATGAGCTACAGGATTTATCTGTGTGAGGATTTCCAAGCCCACATTTGGGAGCATGCTTGTTTGGAATTGAAGATATTCCATCTTCTGTGGGCCCATGGTTGATGCAATAGGTTAGAGAGGTAAAGTTAATCTGTGTTACACCTCGATAGCTTTTGTGACTTTCCATAAACTTCTTCAAGCTCGAGCTTAGTTTTGTTGAACTTTCTGATGACCAGCTCTGGATTTTCAAGTTTGTGTGGTTCTCAAAGCAGAATCTGACTCCTGGTTTGTCTTTGCATGTTACAGTGATGTGCTGGCAGTGATATGGAAGATTTTAATAAACATTTTAAGAGTAATGACTTGAACACTGCTCCTCTGCTGTGGGACTCCCCTCGAGGTGTTTTCTTGGTGATCAGATCTACTGGTAGTACCCAAGCTCCATTTTTACACCCTTGCTAGCCTGTTTCCATCTGTCATGAGTTCTTATGTCTTGTCTTTAGGACACTGTTTTTTATGCTGCTGAAAATAAACTATGCAACCCTACTTTAAATATGCTATGCATTTTTCTTTTCTGCTTTCAGATATTATGATGAAAACGCAGAGTGAAGTGACTACACACAGTCAGGGTACAAACAGGCTGTGAGCTATCAGGATGGCCTGTGATACCAAACCAGATGCTCTGCAGAGTTGTCCTGGCAGGGGTCTTATTTGTACCCATAAACATGGACTTCTCTTTGGTTTACATATCTTCTTATTTCACGCATGGTCTCACCTTCTTATTTCCCTTCTTATAATGCTCTTTCTCTCCTATTTCAAGTGTTTTCCTCCTTCTTTCCTTTTCCCTTTAGATTTTAATTTTCTTCATTTCTATTTCCCCTGAGCTTCTCCCTCTACTTAATCTCACTTCTTGTCAGCTTTCTTCTGTCTCTTTGTGGTCCATATTGCTGAGTATAGAGTTTGAAGCCCTTGTCCCTGCCTTCAATGCTGTATATATCTGCCCAGGTTTTTTGTTGCATTACCCTCTTCTCCTGTTTCTTCTCTGGGAGGGCAAATCTGGCCTATGAACATTTCTCCCTTTGCCAAAATGTGCAGAGTTTTCTCCTATACCAATGACTACACCAAATGTGACTCTTGAATTTGGGGTTTCCCCAAAGGCCTCGGCATACCTGCAGTGAGCCAGGTCCTGTACAAAAGCTGGTCAGACTGAGCAGGTGAGCAATGGAAGTAGAAAAGTTGCTCACCTCTTCCTCTTGCTTCTATGCATGGTCTGCAGACAGGGCAGAAATAGCACCTTGCATGTAAGTAAATGAAATGCACTTTGGAAAATGCTGGCTGTAAATGCTGAGTCTGTGTAAAAACAGAGAATACTGTGGAAGGGGTCTCGGTGTTTCCTGGCTTTGTGCAAGCTGGGGCCCTGACATGCCTATCCTTATCTCCTACAACTCCATGACCTTCGGTTCATTTCTCAGTGAGCAGGAGCCGATTACACCACAGTGCTGCAGAAAGCACTATGTCCAGGTGTATTTTTAGAGGCTTCTTAAATAACCAACCAAGATAACGCTGGATTCACTGAACCATTGTGATCCTTTAATTATTTAAGAATGATGGAGACCTGCAGGTATGAGTGAAATCTAGCCTTTGCATTGTATTTGCTATCTTTTTACTGCCTGGAAAGATACACAGCACATTGTAATACATTTTCAGATTCTTCATGCTGACACTTTGTGATGTTACACAGAAGTCAATAATACTCATCATTTACCAGACCAGATGTATTAGTGTCTTTCTCTGAAGTATCTGGCCTTTCCACCACTGCTATCTAAAGCCTTCAGTTATCCCTCAGACACTATGGGCAGGGAGTAAGTACTTGATGCCTCTTGAGGATGTTTCCCACAATATGAGGATGTTTCCCACAATAACCCAGGCATGGAGGAACAGAGAAACTGTGGTTAGCCATGCAGTTAAACACAGTTTCCATGGGGCTGTATGCCTTTATCCCTAGAATTAGCTGTTTTCTCCAGAACCAGCAGCTCTCTCCTGGCCAGGTGTCCCTCATAGCAGTTTTGAAAGAACCAAGCTGGGTTATTTCTTGCTTTTAAAATATCCGTAATGCCCAGCTCTGTTATGTGGTAGCCTTTTGGCCTGCTGGCAAGCAGGAGGTCGGGTTCTGAGCTTTGATCAGGCAGAAAGCAGGTTAAGCCATGTGTCCCAGGACAATGTCCTACCCATTTTGAAGGGGCATGTGACATGGGGAAGGTTAAGTGGTATGTTTAGCCCCTCCAGTTGAACTAGGCCACAGTCCAGAAAGAAATCTGAGATCCAGAGGGCCAGGAAGCGAGCTTTATTCACTAAGCACTGTTGAATATACTTGTCCATTGAACTGGATTTTCCAAAGTTACCTCAAGTCTACTGTAAAACCTCTGTTAGGTACTTTTTGGACACTTATTCTAGATGATGGCTTTAGGTCATTATCAAGCACTTTGCTCCTATGCAACTTGACCAGATAATTGATCCATTGATCTGCTTCACTCCTAACTTGTCCTGGAAGAGTGGTGAGTCTATAGAGCTGCACAAAGAAAACTTGAATGAGAAATATAATGTTCAGCTCATTCTAATGTTTGCTCAACAAATGGGCTGTTGTTTTTTCCCTAGTCATAATTTCAATAGTAATTAAGCTGATGGAGGTTCTTAAGAGCAAAAGTGTTAAATGCCCTTTGGCACCATAGCAATGACAAACTGGCATAAGGAACACTGTCAGTTATGCAAGATTTCCTGTTTACCCCATCCAGAGAGGAATGTGAAGGCAGGCAAGTCAAGTGCCCTAACCTCTAATTAAAAAACCCCTAGGAAGTGTGTGCAGATACCTTATTTAATAAAAAAATACCCAATTTGCAAAGTTGACTATTCACTAGGCTATTTGCTCTGCCAGAAAAGGAAAGTAGATACTTTTGAAACCATTTACTCTTGAGAAGTTCCTAATACCCTCATTTTTTTTTTTTTTCCTAGAGTTTCACCAGGCATGCAAGCCAGGCTCACTGGTTTGTAGTTCTTCAGCCGCCCCTTTCTCCATCTCCAAAGGGAGACACTATGTGCTGCTCTCAGACTCCAAGGTCCAATCCCAAGGTTTTGGGGTCTCTCTTGTCCTAGCACAGCTTCCCAAAATGAAGAAAGGTTTGAAGATTATTTTCTCTCTGTCACCTACTTCCTTTCTCTTCAGATTTTAGAAGTTGCTGTTTTGTGATTTTACTTCTGAAAAAATGAGTGTTGATGGAAAAACATGATGGGACTATTCTCCAGCCTCATTAACCAAAGTGAAGCAAAGGCCCTTTGCCTTGAGCAGGATGAAGTCATGAAGGAAGGGGGTGTAGGTCTAAGTTTGTTCTCTTTGTGCATGAGGGAACAATATGGTATCTATAGTCCTTGGTGAGGATACACTCTGAGATGGTTACTGGGTGACTGCTTACACGATGGCTGTGGGTCTGCCCCACATGCTGAGAAGCATCGCAGGGAGGGTGCTGCCTGCCCAGGGGTAACCTCCTGATGGAGTATATCCCCAACATGGATTACAGGCAGAATGTGGAACAGCTTGTCAGCAAGACAGCAGTGGCTGATGGGAGGTGACTTCCCTTGTAAGGGATTGCTTGGTAGATCCTGCCTTTTATGAGCTTTACTAAGTGTTTACTATCGTTATTGTATATTTAACCTATACCAAGCTGTATAAATCTTCTTGCATGCTTCTGTGTGTGTTGGTAATAGGTTTTCAACTGGGAAGATTTTGGTCCTTGTGTTTTCTAGCCCTTGTGGGACAAACTGACTGCCTTTCCGTGCCTTCCCGAAAAGAAGTGTCTTTGAGAAACCAATTAAATCTGAATCAAAGGTTTTCCAAATATTCGTTAAGTGCATCTAGGATGTGAATGAAGCTTGTTAAACATCGTGTCTGTGCTGGCATTACAGCTGCACCCAAGTAGTGTCACAGGTCTGTAACTGGCAAATATAGCAATGTAGGGTTTGCTTCACTGGCTTTTATTGTTGTGCCTAGGACTCCAGGCAGGAAAGAAGATGTAAAAATATTTCTTAATCCTGGATAAGGAGACATAATAATTTTTCTATTTTTTTTTCTTATTCTTATTATCTACTTCATCTTAATGAGAAACTGTAAAGATAGTCTCTTTGCTAATGAGAGGGGACAGACACAAAGTAGCTGACTTTAAATAAAAAGTTCACAAGTGCTACCTACTGTGGTTAAGTAGGTCCCCGGCAGAACAAAGAGGCAGCTGCCCTGCTGAAATGACCTGACTGTGCATAGTTTGTTTATTTTACCTCAACCCTATCATGATTCATACTCACATCAGTCAAACTTACAAACAAAACTTTGAATCCAGATATTTGCTACCTTCTTGCTGTTATCTCTCTGTGTCAATGTGGACTGAGATTTCAGGGGTAATAATGCACAGCCTACAAAGGAGAGACATTGAACTTTGAACCTCTATTCACATTAAAATACTCTTGGAAAAGTCACTTGCTCTATGAGAAGCCCTATGAACTGTTAAAGGCACTTGGCCTATGAACTATTAACAGGACTACTGGATGACCTGTGGGTGACTTTGGTCAGCAGATGGGCCTGACTAGGAAAATGGCATCTCCTCGGGAGGTATATGAGCAGGAACTGGATGTCTGCAAAAGAATGACTAAAGGGTGGAAATAGCTGTAGAATAATTTATTTTGCCTAAGATTGTACATGTCTTGAGCTGCTTAAAGTACTGGTTTATTGTTTGTGCTGCATGTTGCAGTATTGACAACCTGAAAGTCAAAGAACTGGTGTTGACATCAGGTTCTCCTCCTGCATCAAAATAAGACTCACATGATCTGTAAATATTACAAGCAGTGATAACATCTGAGGAGCTATAAGACCCTCATCCTCATCAACTTCTTTCTTAAAGAAGAAAGTGTTCAACCCTGTGTTTAGCAGTACCCAGGTCATGTCAAGGAAGAGAGGGTGTGAGTGAATACCCTGTCAAGACTGCGGTATCTTCTGGAAAGAGATGATATCACAGCACTGGTACACTGAAAGGTTTTTAAGATGAAGGGAAAGAGAAAGAGCTACCAAAGGTCAGATTTAATATGGAAGCTGAGGTGATGACAAAGAGAAATGTGGAGGGACAGAGAGAGGAAGGACGTGTTGCTGGAAGGTGTGTGAAAAGGCAAGTTACAGGAAGATGGGCTCCATAATTTGGAGGTAAATCATAAACTGGAAAAATTGTAAGTGGAGGAACACTTAAGACTCAGAGGAATCTGAAGATGCTTGCTACATCCTCTGCAGGGCTTTCCCTGCCTTATGATAGTTTCTTGTATCCAAAGGGAGATG